ACCTGATTTTGCAGCTGGACTATCCGTACACTCAGGGATCCCAGGACTCCGCCCTGCTGCAGCTGGTGGAGCTGCGCTACAGGGTGAACCGCCTCTCACCTCCAGGGGCTCCACACGTGGACCTGTTCGCCTGTCTGCTCCGCCACAGACTCAAATTGTCCAGCGCAGACGTGACCAGGATACTCACTGCTCTGCAAGCTTTCGGTGCCAAACACCCCAACTTCACAGAGTCAGAGGCCACTAAACTGTGCAGCTAGTGTGACGTTTTCTACACCCCTCCCCTCACAGACGTGCTTACATAATTGGTCTGCAGGATCATATTGTGTCATGTGTGTGGTACGTTGTTCTAAAGTGTGCTGTACATACACAACGTGCAATAAAAATTGGTGTTTTTTTTTTATCATTTCTGAGTATTTTGATGGATTCATTGAACATTTCAAAATCCGTGAGACATTCCTGACCAATGGGTTAGGTTTCGGTGGAACAGGTGACTAAACCCCGCCCCCTTTGGAGCTCGTAGCTCAGGTAGACTTTACAGTAGAAGCTTCAATCAAACTTTAAACAGGCCACAGAAGGGTGGACTTGACACGAGCGAACCAGGATTTTGATGTCTTTCATGGTTTTGAAGGAACCATCGTATTCATTTTTGTGGTTTTCTCTACAGAATGTTGTGCTGACGGCTGATGATATCACACAAAGGCATGAAACAATACTACCACGTTTGTTTTGGTGTGTATAAAAGCTATAACCTAGTCTTCTCTCACTCTGTCAGTGTTTTTTGGCAGAAGGCACAGCGTTCACATCCAATCTGTTGTTTTTAGACCAAAAATGATCCTGCTTCCCACATTTTCTCTCTGGCTGACTCATAAGCTCATTAGACACATTTTTAGGGTTACCACTAGGGATGGGTACCTTTGACATTTAAATAGATTCGGTACTAATTCCTGGTACCAAGGAATTGATACCGGTACTTAACGGTACCAATTTTAGACACTTTTGAGTGTTTAATATTTTTATTCTCTTTTATAATTAAATATATATTTTTCTCAATATATAACCATATTTGATAAAAATCACGATAAATAACATTCAACTGTTTGTATTTTAACATCGTCGTTGTAGTTTTATAAGCTGATAATTAAACTGAAGCAAACATCTTTACTGTGAACTAAATTTACTGTGTATCTTCATTCCTTTTGCCGTCCTTTTTCATTTGATTTTTCCTACTGGGAAGTTAGAATTTCCGAGGAGAAAGCGAACGCACCATTAGCTGATAACAACGGTGGCAATGGAAGCTAACATATCAAGCTAACGTTATCTTAAACAGTTTATTTAGCTGCTGGAGCAGATTAAAACGATGATGCCTCACACTTAAATCGTTGTCGCTGGTTTCATCTTCACCCAATCACCCGTCGCATTTAGTCAAGTGAAGCCAAACTTTAGAGCGCGTTCTTGTTCTTCTAGTCGGAAATTCGGAGTTCCGAGGAGAAAGCGAACGCACCATTAGCGAAACGGAAGCTAACAAATCAAGCTAACGTTATCGTAAACATTTTATTTACCTACCGGAGCAGATTAAGATGAGGATGTCTCACTTAGATTGTTGTCGCTGGTTTCATCATCACCCAGTTACCCATCACATTTAGTGAAGTGGACCCAAGCTTTAGCGTGCGTTCTTTCTACCATGCTGCTCTGTTTACAACTGGCTCGCAGCGACCGACGACAAAACGCTCTTGCGCATGCGCAGCTGTCTAGGCAAGTTCTCGTTATGAAGGACGGGTACCGAAACGAGGCACCGTTTCAAATGACGTGAATCGGTGCTCAGTCGGTACTGTGGAATTCGGTCGGTACCTTAAAAAGTACCGAATTCGGTACCCATCGCTAGTTACCATGGTGAGTTATTGAGAGACTGGCAGTTTCCATGGTGACCTTAATGAGCCACAGGCAGTGGCTTTGACATTTCTGTTAATTTTATTGCTCTTATGCAGGTTATACTTCAAATCAGGGACATTCTGTCTCAGCTTGGATTCATGCAGAGTTGATGTTGGGATTTCTGCAGAAAATCCAGTTAGAACATTAAGTTTGAAGCTTTTTTCCCCCAAAACACTAGCATTCAGCAGAAATAGTTACCTCTTTGTCACTCTCCCCTTTATCCCACTGGAGGGCCCGAGCTTTGTGTGCTGGGTTGTTTCAGCCCATCTGGAAGCTCAGAACACAAGGTCCCCATTCTCCATTCAGGGAACAGCGTCGCCACAGACTACTAAGTACATTGAGGGAGAGGGGGGAGGGTCCGGAGTAGCCTTCTTCTGTTCCTCTGCCGTCCCCACACGCCATTCACAGTTACAGTGATGGATGAGCAGAGGAGCTGCAGAGACATGCCTAGCATCTAACAACAGCAAACAAGGGATCAGCGTGGAGGACGGCGCTCGCTCGCACCCAGCACCACGGCGGACCGGGCCCTCTCAGGGGTGATACCAGACCAACGGGGCAATCAACTCTAATCCCCCAAAGGTTGTTGACGTGGGAGCCCCACGCTGGCAGTGTGGGGCTGCTTTGCTTTGACAGGCGTCTCAGCGGAGACGCTCCTTCATCAAGATTCACCAGACGCATCTCTCCCGAGATTAAAGGCAGACACAATTTTCTCTGATGCCGTCGTTCAGAATGAATGTGAACGAGGCTGCAGACGCAGGTTTGATTGTGAGGTGAGCCGCTGTGTGAACATCAGCTCTGGTCGTGTACATTAGCTTACGATGCATCATACAGTTACGTCTGTTTATGTGGCCCGAGATCGACTGGCACAGCTTAAAACTGCTCAAAGCTTTGACTTCATTACAAGTTTTAGCACCACTTCCGACTGGCTGCCTCAGAGCAAGGGCATTGATTTTTCAGTGTTACTGACCTACAGCCTCTTCTGGGGCTGTAGGTCTTTTATCGAGTTATCAAACGTAACAACGAGCGTTGTCTAGTTTAGTTCCCTCGTGGTTTAATCACCTTTTATATTTCAGTTTGGTTTCACCTGGCCTTTTCCCTTTTTTAGTCAAGTTCTCAAGAAGCTGAAGCTTTCATATATTTATATATTAAATGTGCCAAAGCCTTTAAGGAAACAAGCTTACAACGTGTTTAAGCTGACTACAGGGAAAACGTTGGTGGAGGATCTGGAACGCATCCCGGTTAGAGTTTCATTCCCTGGGTTTGCGAACGAGCATCTGCTGTGTTTTAAATTCTTTTAAACAAGCAAATATTCTGCATCTGGGTGTGAAACTGGGCATGCGGCGCTGCTGGAAGGAGTCCAGTAACTCTGGGGAAGGCGTTGATGCAGGAAAACCACAAAAACCTTACAGTAGATCAGACTTGGAAAGCAAATCTTACTTCAAGGTTGTGCTTCTTGTTTATGGAGCAAAAATTCTACTTTTTTTCTGTTTTGCTTTCAGCCGAGCATTTCTCTAGATGGTATTTTTTTTATTTAACCTTTATTTACCCAGGAAAAAGTCCCATTGAGATTTAAAACCTCTTTTTCAAAGGAGTCCTGCAGCAAACATCACACAAATATACAAGACAAAATTTACAGTTTAAACTTGTATGAAAACAAACAATCTCAAATAAAATTTCTGAGAACAAAGTTAAGTAAAATATTTAAAACTTTAAACGAGCCCAAAAATAAAAACAGTCTGAATAAAACTGTTGCATGTTATTGAGTTAGTCTCAAGATTTCTTAGTTTGGATTTAAAAACATTCAATGAAATAAACTCAGTCATCCTCCATTTTTCCTGCAACTCATTCCAAGCCGATGGCGCTGGATGGGCAAAAGCTCTCTTCCCAAGTTCGGTACGTACAAACGGGACAGAAAGCAGCAACGTGTCTTGTAGACGAAGAGAATAACGACCTGCAATTTTCATTTTAAGTAGGGAAGTTTAGGAAGGTAGCGGACCAAGTAGTGCCTTATATATAAATCTGAAAGAATGAGATCTCCTCCTGATGGTCGAAGCAGGCCATCCCATCTGAGAGTACAACTCACAATGATGAGTCGAGTATTTACGGTTAGCGTTAAACCTTAGAGCAGCATGATGCACGGTGTCAAGTGACTGAAGACATTTAGCAGAAGCGTTCATGTGCATGTTTACAGTTTTGGTAAGAAGTTGACCCAAAGTCATCACAGGCATGAATGAAAGTTCCATTTTGGGGCTCTAGTGGAATAATGAAATCATCCATGTTGGAATGGTTTTAAAATGTATGACTTCAATAGTTTTAAAAACAATAAATAAATAAGTGCTTCAGCTTGAGTTTATTGTGGATTTTCTCTTCCATTCAGATGCAGATGCGTGCAGACAGCCTCTGTCATGTTCTGTGTCCCTTTGCTCCCCAGCTCCTCCAGTTCCCTCTCCAGGTTCTACTTTTGTGTTCTCCTAGCGCCCTCATGTGTCCTTGTCTGCATCTCTGTTGTGTGTCTTAAGTTGTAGCTCCAGCCTCTTGTTCCCCAGTTCATTGTATGTGTGTGTGAGTTTGTGTGTGTCAGTATGCGTATGTGTGAGTCCTTCCCTTAGTCTTTAGGTTTAGTTTTGTGTTTTATATGTTTTAGGTTTATCTGCCCTCCACTGGTTCTCTTCCCCATCCAGATAATTGTTGTCATCTGCCTTCCCTCCAGCCTTACTCCACACACCTGCTTCCTGTTTCCCTAATTGCTCCTCCCAGTCTATATAAGCTCTCCTTGTCTCAGTGTTCTTGTCGGTCCATTGGTGTGGTTTGTCAGTGTTGTTTTGTGTCTACGTTGGCCTGTCCTCCCCAGAGTTTTGCCCGTGTCCGTGCTCAGTTTTTGAGCTTCTGTTTTTGTACTTTTTGATCTCCTGATCAGTCCCTGGGTTTTTGGACTTTGGCTTCCTGCCCTTTTGGATTTATGTTTTTTTTTTAGAATCATCCTACAAATGAAAGGATTTTTTTCTTTACATCTACTCCTGCCTCGTGTCATCCTGGTTTCTGCAGTTTGGGTCTTAACCATCCACAAATCATGACAGCCTCCATAACATCTGATTGGATGTTTTTGAACCTGATTATGTATTAATCACCAAACCCCCGCTTTTTCCTCTGGCTGGTGTTAGATCACTCGTCTCGACAAAATTCTGCTTTAGTTTGTAAACCTTTCAGAAGGCTGAGTTTGAGACAAGTCACTGTCCTGCAACCAGGCTCGGGTTTAAACCATGCAGCTGATGGTTATTCCACTTTGCACCTGTCCCACATCATAATGCTGCCGCCACCATGCTTTCTAGTTGGTCAGATTTAAAGAGTTCATTAACTCATATGGGAAAAAAGAAAGAAGCTACTTTTGATTAAAATCACAAAAATGCATTGGGACTGAAATCACATGAAGTAAATAAATCACATGAAGTAAATAAAAGTATGCATTTTGCGTAA